TCATCATCATCATCATCATCTCTCTCTCTCTCTCTCTCTCTCTCTCTCTCTCTCTCACACACACACACACACACTCACGGGGGGGTATTCACACATGAGTACTTAGACAGTTACTTTCCACACTAATTAATGCTCACTCACTTTCCCTCACGCTCCTGTTCACATGTTTGCTCACACACTACACTGTCCCCATTTCCCCTTTCTTCTGTCTATCCTCCAGGTGAGAGCTCCCCCCACCCCCACCACAGTGTCATTGGCTCTGCCGGAGGATCCATGGCTGTCTTGGAACTTGGGCATGCTTGGAATCAGCAGCTGGTTCCTTAGGGACTGGGTGGACTTCAGAGACCCCGGTACACTTCCTGATTTCCATTGCCTAGAACAGGGGGACTAGGCAGCCCCAGCTTCCCTGAAGGGCAACTCTGGGCTGCAGGCACCAGATCTGGCCACTTTCCAGTTGCTCTTCTTTATCACCCACATTCTCCATAAACAAGTGGAGGCTTGTGGGGGTCTTGATAAATCACCTAGAGAAAGTTAGCAAATGAGGGTAGAGGAGCTGCAAGCACAGGAACGTGGCCTCCCTCCCCAAGATCACCAGACTAGGTCCCCTTTGTGGCCTTTCACAATGTGGGAAGACCCCTGGTATCACTGTCCTTCTGTGCCAGTCTTGAGGGCTCTGGGTCCAGAGTGAGAAGAGGGAGGATCTAGTTGTTAGTGTCCTTTGCTAGAAAGTTCTTTCTTACACCAAGCCCTGTCCCAGTTCCCTACATTGGAAATCCTTAGGGAGACAGATCCAGAGATGTCTATGATGGGGATAGCCACTAGACTGACTCTCTGCTCCCTCCCTGTCCTTTCCCTCCTTTCTTCTTGGTCCTACCCTTACCCCCACTGTGTCTGAATCTGCCACTCCAGGACCTCGGTCCTCTCCTGTGCTTTTCATGCTACTCCTGGGCAATCTCACCTTAGCCTTAGAAATTTGCAGGAAGCAGTCAGCTGACTACCTTCCAGGCTGGTCTCCTTATGTCCAGCCCTTCTCATTTTCCTGAGTCCTCAATCCGCTCTGTCACGACTACCAGCCACCTCCACTCTATGGACCCTGTGGCTACCCACCTTGCTTTCTTTTGGCCTCCAGGTCATGTCCCCTGCTTGTTCAACTTCACTTCTGCCACTTAGTGTGATTGTCACAACCTCCTCTGGAATGGCAGTTTCTTGGTCAGGTCCAGAGGCCCTGGTCCCTTTGGTAGACACTGACCTATCCATCCCTTTTCATGTCTACTCTTCCCAGGCTAACATCACAGATCGTCTCCAATGTTCTAGGGTCAGTATTCACCTGCAGCCCTGGAGCACGTTGACAGGAACCCAGAGAGTCATCCTGGCTGATTGCCGTTGCTGGAACGGGCTTTATTTGAAACTAGGGTCATTGCAGATGTGACTAAGTGAAGAATGGTGAGCTGAGCAGATATTCTCTGGTGCTTCAGGCAGGCCCCATGTACAATGACAGTATCCTAAGACAAGCAGAGAGAAATTCCCAACACATATAGAAATAAGGGACTGTGAACAACAGAGGCTTAGTGAAGTAACCACAAGACAAGGAGTTACCAGGAGCTGCAAGAGGCACGACCTTATCAGGAAGTACCACCCTGCCAACATGACCCCTGAACCATAAAAGAATAAATAATATTGTTTTTCATCAGCCGCAATAATTGTCACAGAAGTCCAAGGATCCTCATATAAACCCCAACTTAGTTATCAAGGAGAATCATCTTTCAAAGTATTGTCCACTGCATAACCCGCCACCTCCCAGCCTGCTTAGCCTCAATAGATCCCACACTTGGGACTTTTGAAAAGCTCTGATCAGCTATGTTTTATGTGTGTGCATATGTGTGTGGGTTGCATACACATATGCACACAATGACTCTTTGAACACCACTTCTCTTGAGCAGGGACAGCTCACTATCTAGGGCACTGCCCTCTTCCCTAGTCGCTCCTTGTGCAGTGGGCACCGGGGCCCTTCATCACCAGGCTACCTTGGATTCTCTGGGTCCCCAAGGGAAACAAGGGCTCTACCTTATGTATCCAGAATAGAATCTTTACCTCTTCCTATGATCTTTGTTTTCCCAAGAGATCCCAGAGTGCATAGGAGAGCCTGGAACCCATGGGAAGCGCCTGGAACCACACTTTCAGAGCAGCCCTATGGCCCCCACTCCAGGTCCTTCACCTCCTCTGCTCAATCCCTTCAAGGAGAGATCCCCCCCCAGGGGCCCTGTTTCCATCTAGGCCCTGGTCCAGGATACCTGGCCAACTGCCTCTTCTACAAGATCTGACTTGTTTAAACCTAAGCAGTGGATTTGGCTTAGGCTCCAGCTGGGACCCACTGAATGCAGAAGGCACCTGACCTGTAGTTAGTGCTCAGAAAAATTCCTTATCCTAGACCCATGCCAAGGCCACTCCTTGGCAGCTACCTTGTTCATAGAATAGCTGTTTCTAATGGCACACATTCCTA